CTGTATTGATTCTCTTAATTTAAATTTTAGGCAAATGTCACTGACTTTTGTGTGTGGTATTGGTTATTGAACTCAGGGCCTCCCACATGCTAAGAAAACATTCCAAATTCATCCACAACCATCAGTTTTACTCTTCTTTTTTTGTTTGAGACACTTGCTACTGCCCTTGACCTTACTGTGTAGCTAGGCAGGTCTTAAATTTGTAATCCTCCTGCCTCAGCCTTCCAAGTGGCTGGGATTATAAGCCCGTGCCCCACGCCACGGGGCCTTCCTTCACTGTCCATGTTTCTATACACTGATCAAGATTCTCTTCTGAGTTCCAGATACATTTGTATTTGAGAGTATGCATAAGTATTTGAGAGATCTTATTTCGCATATATCCCCTCTCCATCTAAATCTACCCTTCTCGGCTTCTCCACCTCAATCAGTGGAAGATTTATCTAACATCTTAAGTTAGAAACCCAGGAAAACCTAGGACACTCTCCATTCTGTTGTTTCCATCATCCCCAACTTTTAACCCTTCACCAAACATTTTAATGTTGAATTCTAAACTATTCCCAGTCCAGGCTCCTGTCTCTATCACTATGGCTACTAGTTTACCCAAAGCACCATTGTGTCCCATATAGACCAGTTCTCCCACTTCCCTTGCTTTCCTGCCTGTCTCTTCTCCAGACAGCAGTTTAGCATTCTTTGTAAAACAGCTTTCAGATTACTTAGCTTGACTGCTTTGTGCCTGTCAATGGCTGCCTGGTTCCGTAGCCACAAGGCCTGATCACCGACTTCTTTCCTAATATTCCACAGTGAAACTAATCTTTTTTTGCTCACCATATTCTAGTCAAATTAGCTTGTTTTAGTTCCCCAGGCCCCAAAATCTTTTTGGCCATAAAGTCTGTGTGTATACTGTCCCCTTTGCATGAAACTCTTTCCCTTTCCCTTTAGGCTTCAGTTCAAATGTTGTTTCTCAAGACTTTAAGTGATTTCTGTAATCTAGATTGGACCTGTCTGATTGTGTTAGTTTCTCTTATAACATCATGCTCATCCTCTATAGAGTTTAGTACCTTTTATAATGTTAATTTATGTGAGTAGTGCTTAATAACCACTTTTCCCAGTTGAGTTTTCCACAAAGACTCTAAGTGTATTGGTAGTAGTAGCCACTTTCTAGCCAGAACATTGTACAGTGCTCTAAGTACCCGAGAAATACTCTAAGTATTCATTCACTCTGAATGAATAAAATGAAACATTGCTTTTATTTGGAAGAATTAAATGCAGGGAATATTATTGGCACCCCAAATTTTCTTTTTCCTTTTCACATACCAGAGGACAGTGACTTTGAGTAGAAGTGAGGAGGAATGTTTAGGGTCATATTTCTCCAATGCCTTTCACTCTCAAACTGGTTTGAAAATGACACTTTTCTTACACTGGGAGAAAGCAAACATTCTTTCCTTTGAAATCCTTGAAGGACCATTATTCATTGAAAGTAAGGAAAATGATTTAGCTAATCTCCCAGTATTCAAAGCTCTTGACATTTGAGTTCTCTAAGGCTGCTTGCACACTCTTTGTCATGTGGTGTAGTGGAAGAACAATTCATCATAATTTGGAAGTCAAGAACTTTTGTCTTCTCTCTGCCATTTATCATTTGTGTGACTTTAGGTGAGCCATTTAATCTCTAAGTCTTATTCTCTCATATATTATATGGGCCTACTATTAAGTGGCCTATGTATTTCATGAGTCTAGTCTACTAGTCTAATGATTAAATCAATAGGTAGGAGTATTTGACTGGCTCCATAAATGCAGTTATGATTTACAAAAAATTCTCAAAAGTTGTCGTTGTTATGGTCCTTTCACTACCTGTTAAAGTTCTGGGACTCAAACCCAGAGCTTCAAGCATGTTCAGCAGGCACTCAACCACTGAGCCATATCCCTAGCTCTGAAAAAACTTCTTTTAGTAATGGATTACAATATCTGAGTACAGTTGCCCATTGTTTAATGTAACTCATTTACTAACTGCATGTCAAGTCATCCAGATTTATAGTCACCTTTTCTCTTAATAGTCAAAGGAATTGGTACTAGTACCTCCCATATACAGGGCAAAACCTGTAACTATGTTCCTCGCCCATCCATTCCTAGTTAGTGGTAGGAAACTTAGATATCTCTTAATCACCTTCTGCTCCGAACTTCTGAATTTTTAACCTCACATTTTTTTTATGGGGATAAAACCCAGGGCCTTGTGCATGGTAGGTGAGCACTCTACCATTGTGCTATATCCCCAACCCTAAACTTAGGTGTTCCTCAATCTTTGTAGTTGTCCTTTTTATCAACCTGACCCAGATCTTAGTACTATGTTTATTTTTTCCAACACATCTATGGAACAAGACAGTTGATTCTATCAGTTGTCTGATGAAGTTCTGAGGGTAATGAAGAGGGATTTTTTTTTTTGACAGGGTCTCCCTACTCCCAGCCTACCTGGAAGTCACTATGTGCATCAGGTTGGCCTCTATCTCACAAAGATCCACCTGCCTCTGCCTCTTGAAGGCTGGAATTAAAAGTGTGCACCACCACGTCCATGTGGGTTTTATTTTTGTTTTGTTTTTTTTTTTTTGAAGTGCAGAAGATGCCTTAAATATCATTGTTAGTCAAAATCATCCTGAAATTCCTCCATCATCCTCTCAAGGACATTATCCTGCTTTCCCCAGGACCCAGCTAGATTCCATGTTGCCCTGACCATGACTTTCCTTTTAGCCCTTTCACAGTTCCTCTACTCTCATTTTCCACAGCCCATAGTTCTCTTCATTGCTCCTGGAAAGCTGGGATATGTGGAATTCATCTGACAATTTAGATGCCTGTTTCCCATACAAAACTTAGCTCCAGGTCTACTTCTGTTTCTCCAAAAGTCACTAAGGTACTTTTCCACAGGGCATATTATCTAGACCACTCACCTTTAGCTAGCATAAAGGATCAGGAAGAGACTTTCAAACCTCAGTCACTTTTTATTAATTAAACTTTTTCTTTGATAACTTCATACACATATATAGTACATTCTGATCATTCTCATACTCATCCTCTCTTATTTCCCATCCACTCCTTTCAATCTCCCTGCTCCCTTTACAAATCCCTTTCCCACATTCATATCTTTTTTGTGGTCCACTGAGTTTAACCAGGGTCATCTTAAACATGTGAACGTGGCTTTGGAATTATCCATTGGAGCTTTCTGGACTTACTAGTAAAGCCCTAGTCTTTTACTTACATAATTAAAATATTAAGCTTAGGGAGAGAACAATAGAGGAAGGCACCTGATATTGATCTTTGACATCCACATGTGCATA